ATTTATTATTCTGTAGCTGTTTACCCAAGAGGCATTTACAATTTCCTTTTTTTTAACCCAATTCCCAGTAACAGACAGTTTATTCATATTTGACCCAGTTAATATGTGTTTATGTGCATTTGTCAGCTACTGTAACAGAGCCTATAATAATAATAATAATAATGATAATGATAATTTGACCGTAACCTTTTCAGAAACTGCACCACAGACCACATATATTTTATGGCTACAATAGATGCGGAAAGAAAACAGAACATATTACCATTTGCGAAGCTGGGAATCAGAATTTAGATGCTATGTCTTGTATGTAATAGTTGACAACTAACTGATTAATCGGTGCAGCTCTAATGCTAACTAGGGCGAGGCGAATATTGGAAAAACTGACATTGCAATATTTTGTTTTATGTAATATGAAAAAATACAGACATTTTCACAAATACACTTGAATAACTGCAGTGCTGATTTGATTATTCATAGAGATCAGTTGCGTTACCCCGTGTAGTGGCAACAATTGCAAGACTGTAAGTGTACTTGTTTTTAGTCAACATTGTCCTTTATGAAGCTAAAAAAATAATATACGTTGACATTACATTTCTTTCTGCAGCCAAATCTTCCTTTTTTTTCTCTTTAAAAAATCAACTCAATACAATTCGTTGATAATCAAAATAGTTGGAGATTAAATTATTTGTACTAATGTGTTTTGATCACTTTAAATAAGTAAAAAAAAAGTTCATGACCAGACAGTTTCACTTGTTGAAGCCACTGAGCTTCTTACAATCTTCACCTTTTTTTTTTTTTGACAATTCAGGCCTCATTTCGCAGATTTCAGCAAAATCTGTGAGCTTCCATCTCGTCACGTAGGACAAACGATGTGCATTCTCAAACAGCAATATAGGAAGCATGCAAGGATTATGTCATTTTAAGCTCAGTATGGACTCATCTCTGGGTGTTGCATGTCAGTAAAGATGGTCCGGGGAGGCTTTCGTCGACGTGTGTGCATTAAATACCATGACCGTGCGTGTGTGTGTGTGTGTGATGAGGATGTAAACATGCGTGCTCGGGCCTCTCTGCGTGCAGCTCTGCGGGGAGGGGTGATGGCGGGTGCTGAGGTCACTGTGTCTTCAGGGGAACTCATGACGGTGAAGGAAGAGGAGGGGGAGTACAGTGGCAACAACCATAAGACTCAAGTCATCCTGCACCTGCAGCCCATTCTGCACGGGTAACGTGGCTTATGTAATTAAAGCGCCTAACAGATGTTTTGTACTTGCTGTTTCACACAAAAAAAGAGCCAAGTGTAAACAGATTTGTATAGATGTGAGAATTGATTTTCTGCATGACAACATAATTTTTTTTCCTTCTCTTCAATTTTTCTTCTTGTGCACAGTAAGCAAATTGTATGACATCAATCCGCATTAGTGTGGCTTTTATTCAGTTTGATGCAGGCTCGAGTCAAAGAATGCAACATCAAATATTGTAAATTTCCCCCAGTGAGGGATCAATAAAGTTTAAAGTTTATGTTCAGCGATGTGGAAAAAAGCTAAATCAGAAAAATGTCAGAAAGGTTTCACATGCAGCAGCTATTCACAAATCGAATGATTGTCAGTGTATAAGTGAGAATCTGTCGCCCTCTGCAGGGTCAATGATGACACTGCTGACACTGGCACTACAGTCTTGGCCATAGAGGCACATCACGGTAAGTGACACGATGACATTTCCCCACTGCTCACTGCTCAGTTTAATTCAGAGTGTAAAACCAACAGCTTGTATTATGTGCACTTTAAGCTGGACTGTTGTTTAACCCTCTGAAAACCAAGCAGTTTCAGGATGTTTATTATCTCCTGTCACATTTTTACTCACTGTGGGCTCATTTTTCGCTGCAATATCAAGTCCTGCACCTCTACGGAAACAAGCACAACCATGGCTAGAAGTAGAGTTAACTCAAAAATGTCTTCTTTCCAATATAACAAAATTATATTGCTATAAATCCTGAAAAAAAGACAAAACAAAAGTTGAATTTCTTTGATTGTTTAATCAACAAAAATCAATTAAAACTGGAATCAGCAGCTACAACATTTTTCCATGTTCCTACATGTGTAACAAATACTGGGAGGAAAAAACTGTAGATATTTTACTACTTTTTTTATCTGCTTTTTTTTTTTTTTTTTAAATATGTGTTTCCATACTTGTCTCCTACCTTCTAGGTGTAAACTCTGCCTGCAGTTCATCTAAAATTGTTGTGAATTTTTGTCATGTGACTGTTGGTCAGAGCAGAGTCGCTAATGGCTTCTTAGCGGCGTTTAGAGCATAAAATTGTTCTGTTTCTGACAGAGTATGGTTAGAAAAAACTCTTTATTTTTGGCAAATTTTTAATTGAGACACGTGTAGCTTGGATTCGGTTCATTTTCCCGACTGATCCACTCGTCACACATAGTTCAAGGACTGTCATAAAGTTAAAATTCTGATGATTTTTTTTCTATTTGTACATTTTTGCGGCCTGATAAATGGTTTAATTATGGTGATTTTTTTTACAAGTGATAACACGTGATTCATACATGCCGGTGAATATTGAGGTTCAGAGGGTTAACAGCTATGAATAGAGACCATGTAGGGTGCAATCATGCGCTTTGTGGTCACATGATTCTTACTTTCATTAGAACCTGGGAGGATGTTTTTGTGTCTTGCACACAATGGTGTCGCTGCAGGGGTTCTGCTTTTGTTCTGTGCTGTTTAGATAACAGTAAAGCAGAAGGAGAGGAGGTGGAGTATGGCTACCCCATCACGTGTGGAGACAGCAGGGCAGTGCTGCTCTTCAAGAAGTTTGTGTGCCCTGGAATCAACGTCCGATGTGTCAAAGTAAGTTGATGTGTCAAGCGGGAGTGAATTATTAATGTATTAATACCGTAAAGTCACTTTAACAGTCGAGACACATGATCATCTTCCAATTTTGTCTGCCCCTTCTGTCTTGTTACTTTCTCTTAGCATTTAAAAGACCTCATAAACATAAATTGTGCTGTCCTCTTTTTTCACAGTTCAATGACCAGCTCATCAGTCCAAAGCAGTTTGTGCACTTGGCAGGAAAAGCCACTCTGAAGGACTGGAAACGGGCCATCAGACTGGGAGGGGTTATGCTCAGGTAGGCTTAGGGAACTTGTTTCTGTCTGCTAGCTGTAAATCTGAAAGGCCTGTTAAGGTGACTTAACTCTTTTTGCACCGGGGTTAAAGTGTCAGACTGTAAAACACCTCAGTAAATAACACGCCACTCAGTTACACAATCTGCAACTGCGTGGAGTCTGTCGTTGTCTGCCAGTACATTCCAGAGGTAGTCGGCGAGCAGAATTATTATGATAGCAGGATCAAATAACACGCATGCAAGCTGCTGCTGAGTGATACTTCTCACCTCTTTATCATGTTTGCACTTGTTGTTGGTGTTACTGTGTGGCAGTATGCAAAACCCAATAGGCAGTATCTGTTCTTTTCATCTTTCTTCCTCCAGAGGCCAGATCAATGGGCTTTGTGTCAAACAAACCAGCGGGAAGCTGTCCGCAGTGTTCAGCAAACTCAGTCCTAATATCCCTCAGTAGCTGCGTGGCAAAAAATATTTTCTGCTGCTTCTCCCCATGCAGGAAAATGATGGACTCTGGCCAGATAGATTTCTACCAGCACGACACTGTATGCAGCAACACCTGCCGCAGCACTAAATTCGATGTGCTGATCAACAGCACGCGGCTTCCTCCGGGGACCTCGGTGCAGCCGAGCCTGTCGTGTCTGGCTCTTGACCCTGTTGGAGGACAGGTGCCTCCCTTGACAGGTAGATTTTGGTTGGCATTTACAGTTTGCTGTTTTTTTTTTTCTCTCTTCCTCCCACATATGCTCAGGCTGCTGTTGTTTCACTGAGAATATACCAGCGAAAGTCACTTGGATATCACTCATATGAGATAATAAAACAGATGACTGCTTATAGTGGCTTTAGCACTTTAAGTAACGTAATGAAAATAGAAATAATAATAATAGTAATAACTTTTTTTTATATAGGACATTTTAAAAACAGACTTTACAAGGAGCTTCACAGATAGGCCAAAAAAAAAGCACTGTACTAAGACTATTAAACAACAGATAGAAAAAAGAGAAGCAAAAGGGGAGAAATAGGAAAACCACAGTTAATGCATAGTTCTGAGGTAGGAGTGTGATGATATGGAGTTTGCAAGGTGCTTTACAGACAGGTCAAAAAAAGGAGAATACAAAGAAAATAGACCAGAGAAGCAAAAGTGGAAAAATAGAGTTAAACAGCATGGGCCATACTACCCCTAATCAGAGCAGCAGAGGATGTTCTCCAAAATCTATGCAACAGACAGTGCCACCTACACAATCTAGCCCTGAAAACCAAACAAGAAAGCCTCAGAGTTGGCACAGGGGTTATCAGTGAAAATCTACATTTCCGTGACAGCTCAGTGTGACGGACAGTTAGAACAACAACCTCAATAGACAGCATCTGAGAAAAGCATCCTTGTTGGCTGTTTACTACAAAACCGAAAGATTGAACTTGATTAAAAGACTTGAAAAGTAGCCTGACGAATACTATGGGAGCACATTTTTTGTCTAGAAGAGACCAAGATGCATCGGTTCAGTTCTGATGGGCTCCAGCATGTTAGTTGTGTGAACCTGTCCAGGTAAACCACAGTGAATGCAAAGTCCTGACAGTGAAGCACAGAGGTGGGAGTGTGATATATGGAGTTTACAATGGGGCTTTACAGACAGGCCAAAAAAAAAAAAACACCAGAAAGAATAATGACCAGAGGAACAAAAGGATAGAAATAGTGTTGAACAGATTAAAAGATTTACAAAATAAATCAATACAATAAACATCAGTGGATACGGTTGTATAATAATAAACGCACCAGCCATTAAACGGAATCAGATACTTTTAATTATGCCCCAACCACTACACAGGAAACGTTCTAGAAAGAAATGCTTGTATTTTTTTTGTGTTAGTTGCCTTCCCTCTATCTACCCACATTCAGTGCTACTATGGCGTGTTTTTGCTCTGTATTTACTAGATATGCGTGTTTTGTTCCCATGTCAGGAGATGCACACAATGCAGCAGAGCTAGAGGAGTCTTTGGAGGATAATTTAAGTGCAGCAGCAGAGTGGCGCACCGGCCCACCGCGGCTTGTGAAGCCCACAACAGCCAATGGACATTCTGCCAAAAGAAAGAGGGCCGACATGCCTGGTAAGTATAAGAGCACATACAGTATATGCATAGGTGTAGATCTCGAGAGGGAAACCGGGATACATCCCCCTCAATGCTTAGAACACAAACATAAAAGAAGCAAAATCCTCTATATTGCTACTAATCAACACAACAATTCCTTAGACAGGGGAGGGTGTTTTTACTTCAGCACTTAGTCTTTTCTTTACTCTCAAAATATGAATTACGAGCTCAGTCAACCACAGAATCTGTTGTGCAAAATGTAATTAGATCCGTATATATTTCGAATTGTCACCTTGTGCGGGAATTTTGTGTTTTCCTCTACATAAATAAATACATTTCACTGCAAATGAATTCAGAAAAAGGCACTAAATTTCCTGAGGGAGGAACCACAGACCCTTAATATTCAAATGAAACTTGTACGCATAAGAATGTGGGTGCTTGTTGAGTCGCCTGAACAGGATGAGGATGCTTGAGTGTGGAGCAAAAAAACACAGAAATGACTCTGGTGAAAGGACATCCTAAAGGACAGGCTAAATCCTGAGTCCTTTTTATATTACAGCCTTGTTTTTTTTAGCATTCATTGCATAATGTGGTACACAAATAATTATTATCCTGCAGCAAAATGTGAGCATAATCAGTCTTTGTTATGGAAGTGGCAAAACCGATCTACTGGCACAATATGCTACACGACCGTGAGCTATTCCACTGTGGTGATTCTGCTGTTAGACACCATATGGGTACAGTATTGAGACACTCTGCAATCCAGGCTTGCTTTGCAGGTGTGTGTAATATGAAACAGAAGTGAATAAACACAAACAATAATATCACGTACATGTTAAACAATTAAAAAATGCATCGTCTCTCAATAATTGCTTTTAAGCTGACAAGTGGAACAGCTACTCCTATGAATAAAAATAAAACATTAGAATTGAAAATACAGGCCCCAACATAGAAACTTAATGCAACAAAATTGATCATAAATAGAGTACACCTGTGATTTGCAGTTAGCCTAATTGCATAAACAGAATTATGACCTTTGACATTCTGAGGTTTCTCAGTTTTGGACCTATAGACTGTGTCCATCTGCATGTCTGCATCATGGTTCCATGTGGAAAAGAATTGAAAGTGAAAAAGATCTGTCTGTGAGACTTAACAAAGAGTAGAAATGATACAGGTGGATTAAATGACCAACTAAAAATCTGTGGAAACAATAATCAGGAGGTACAGAAGGAGCCATAGTCCCACTAATCAGAGCTACAGTGGTCGTCTTCCACAACTGACGCAACAGACCGTGTTACTTGCACAATCGAGCTCTGAAAACCAAATGAGTAACCTTCAGAGCTGGCACAGGGGTTATCATTAAACATTTCTGTGACATCATAGTGTGAAGGACAGTTCACACCAACAACCTCTATAGAAGGCATCCAAGAAAAACACCATCGCTGGCTGTTCACTACAAAGCTGCAAGATTAAACTTGACTAAAAAAACTTGAAAAGTCGCCTGACGACTACTGGAAGCACATTTTTTTTTGATCAGATGAGACCAAGATAAATTTGTTCAGCTTAGATGGGCTCCAGCATGTTAATTGTGTGAACGTGTCCAGGTAGACCACAGTGAATGCAAAGTCCTGACAGTGAAGCACAGAGGTGGGGAGTGTGATGATCTGGGGCTGTATGAGTGCAAAAGGTGTTGAGGAGATGACAGTTACAGACAGCGCTATGAATGCTTGTAGATATACCAAAACACTGGCAGACAGGATGACTCCCGGTCTGCAGAAACTTGGCAGAAAAAGAATATTCCAGTGTGATAACGATCTAAAGCACACTGCCAAAATCCCACAAGAAATTCTAAACAAGAAAAAAAAGCGAAAGCTGTGACCTGGCCAAGTATGACGCCAGACACAAATCTGCCTTTGGGGTGTTTTGAAGGTAGAGCAACACCACCCCTCCTGTGGAGCAGCTGAAACAAATACACTAATTCTGACATTTGTACAGCACCAGTATCCTCCATGCTCATTAGGATTAAGTCTGTCATCAGAAATAGAAGTGGAAGTATTGGCGATTTGAATCTCAAGTGTTGCATTGAATTCCTACGGTGAGGCCTGTGTTTTTTTACTTTCTAAACTGTTAGACTTCAACTTGCTCAACTTAGAAGTGATTCAATATTAGAAGGTGTTCCAATTTTCAATCATTTTGCATTTAAGTGGTGCCTTTTCTCACACACTGTGTTTTTTTTTAACATGCCCCTAAAAAGTCTGGATTGTGGAAGATTCATTTACCCCTCTCATCAATCACTTTGTCATCTGCCAAAGGGGCAATACTCTGCTGGTAAATTGGCAAAGCACTGACTTAATAAGTTTAAAAGACACGTTGTTGTAATAGGAGGAGGCACCGGTTCAGCCCACTGACCTTCAGTCGCCAAGAGGCCGAGCATTTATTTGAAGCCCTTGTACTTCAAAGGATTTACACGAGTTGTCCTGCAGTCCTTCAGTCCCTCGTGTCACGCCTCCTGCTGCCACAACTATTTGACCCCTCTGATATACCGAGCCAGTGAGCCTCTGAATCTGCAGTTGTGCGATGTTCTGCCTTTTCCTGCAGACTGTCCTTAAAAAGCTGCTGACCACAGGCAGGCACAGAGTCGTGTCCCTTTATATTACCACCGACGGCATCTGACATTTCTAAGTGTGGCTTTTTCCTGCTTTGATTTAAGGGCTTTTAAAGGTGACCTGATTAGGCATTGTTCCAGGTCGACCACGGTAGGTAAAATAGCCTGCGGGGAGGTGGGGGGATCTTGCGAATGGCAAATTGCAATGCGTCACTGCACATGCAGAATTGCTTGTCACAGGGCTTAAAACAAATTGACAATTCTCGGCAAGCGTACTCGGGCTGTAGCCGTACTCCTCCATCTGCGGAAACGCGTCGCTTCCGAGTAGTGTGTACAGTGCCGACGCGGAGGAATAAATTAATTCAGCTTGAGATCGCTGTAAATGGGATTTGGAATATTTTCATGAGGCGTATTGCATTTATCCAGGCAGACATTTAAGCAAACACGAATGTGCACACACTTCTTGTAAGATTAGATATCAAGCACCTCTGACATTTTCTCACTCTAATACACTCAACTTCTGTTTTGCTCACAGATCCGACGCAATTTTTCATTCCCTCTCGAATCTGCCCTCTTTTCTCTCTTCCTAGAGCACCTCTTTTCTAACCCATTTTCCTACTCCTTCCCTTTCCGTCACCCATTTAACATCCTCTCCCCAAGTGCAGCACTTCTCCCATTTCTTTTATCTCCTTATATCCATTTTTTTTCTCTCTCCATTGTTTCTCCAACCTTGACATCTCCTCCTCTGTTTCCCCTCTTCACTTTATTACTCTTTCAATGCTCTCTTCAAATCTCACCCGCAGACATTTCCCTGCCTCCCTACCCCGTCTTATTTATCCTGCATTTCTTATTTATTTCGCTGGGCTTTCTCTCCATTGTGTCAGGCCTATTTCTGTTTTTTTATACCATCCAACTCGACTGCACACACAAGAATGAATACGATCCCACACATCACCTCTATAATGATGCCTGTACAAGTTCCTCTTATTTCTATAACACCTCTAAAAAAATGAAGAACAGACTCTTGCTCTCCACGCATCGTAATACTGTCTTGACTGTTGACCTTCTCTAGACGGAGTATTGAGTTTGTGGAAGGGCGTGGCAGACTCTGGGCTGATGGGAGAGGTGCTGTCCAGCCTCCAGACTGAATTATTAACCACTTTTAAAGGAGTGGAGCTTCGCAGCGAGCGAGCCAACCTGCAGGAAACAGGTACGATTCCCATGGTGGGACCTGTCTAATCACTGGAAAGATTTGCTTTGACTTTTGCCAGTCAAGTTGTGCAGTTTTTAAAAAAAGAAAAGGATTTCCAGCAAAGGCTCCTCCAGCTACATCTGGTTTGAAATTCATGGAGATTGATTTGTTTTTAAAGCAATTTCTTAAACAGCAGAATTTGACAAATTAATAAAGACTTGTATTAATCATTCAAATCTTGTAGCTGACTTTTTATTATTTTCTTTTGTCAGACGCCGTCATACTTAATTCCTTGTGTGAGATGTTTGGGCTTTTGGATTCAGTGAAGCAAGCTCTGGACCTGAGGCGAAGCCAGAATGAAGAGAACAAAATCCACAACAGTGTTTATGGTGAGAAAACTGTCAAAGCCAACGTACAGTACTCGCAGTGACGCCCCAGTGGATTGTATTAACTCATATCTTGTTTTCGTGCAGTGCTGGATGAGATTTTGGAGGACCAGAGGAGGAAGAGTTGCGATAAAAGCACAATTTACAATACGTCGTCGTCAAAACACCTTCGACCTCAACGTCAAAGCCAGTCGAACAGCCAGAACTCGCTGTCCTCCATCAAAACAAGCACAGTGATCCAACCTCTCTCTGTTACCGGCTTATCTGCTGCGTCGTACGCTCAGCTATTTACCCACTTCTCTGCCTTCACCGGCCAGCATCACCGCGCCGGAGTTGGCAGGACAGACAGGGACGGCCACGGTGCCACGCTGGAGAGGGAGCATGAGATCAGTGAGGCAGGAAACCCGGAGAAGGTTCACCGGCTGGGACAGACAGGCGGCGAGAAGAAAGACACCTCAGGGATCCACAAAGAGCCTGGACAGAGAGAGACTGTGAAGTTTCGGGAAGACTCTCACATTAGAAGCGAGGCGGCAGTGGAGACAGAAGGCTTGCATGACATTGAAAAGGTGATTATAGGGAGAAAGGCATCAAAGAAACATAAAAGTAAGTGAGCCAGACGACCCCAGAGGGATTCAGTGGGACTAATTGAGAGAATGTGCCTGAGACTAAAAGGAGACACACAGCGGGGAAACAATTAAAAAATAATATTACTTTGTCAAACTGTACTTTTCTCTTGTATGCTCATATACAACGATCAGCCGCAACATTAAAACCACCTGCATTACACGGCGCAGGTTCAAGTTGATGCTGGCAAAACAGCACTAACCTACTGATGCATGAACTCAACAGACATCTGAGGTTTCCTGTGGTATCAGGAACCAAGATGTGATCCTTTAGGTTATGAGGGGAGGCCTTCCTGACTTGTTTTTACATCCTCCAAATGCCATATCAGATTGAAATTTGGTGAACATGGAGGCCAAGTCAACAGCTCTTTGTCATGTTCCTCAAGCCATTCTTGAATCATTTTGCCATGTGGCAGGAAGCATTCTGCTGCTGAGAAAAGCCATCAGGGAATACCATGTTGTCTGCGTTGATGTTTGTATTTTTAGGCGTCAAAGTATCCACATGAATGCCAGGATGCAAATATTCCCAGAAAAACATTGTCCGGAGCATCACACTTCCTCTGCTGGCTTGCGTTCTTCACATAGTTCATCCTGCTGCTATCTCTTCCCCAGGTAAACAACACAGCTATTTGTCAAACCAGGCCCTTTTAGATTGCATGCCCTTTCAGGCTATCTTAGCAATGGATGGGGTTAACACTGGCCCTCTGCAGACACCTTTTAATTATAGCCACCATTAAACTTTTCAGAAATTTATGCTACACCAGCTCTCTCTGTGGGATCCGACCCCACAGGCCAGCCATCGCTGCCCACATGCCTCAGTGAGCCCATGACCCTCTCACTGGATCACCAGTTGCCCTTCGTTGGACCACATTTGGTACCACTTTATACTGGGAACACCCCACAAGACTTGCCTGTTTGGAAACCCTGTCATCTAACCACCACAAAATGGCCCTTGTCAAAGTCAGTCAGATCTTTTTGCTGCCCATTTTTCCTATTTTTCCTGCTTCCAACACATGCACTTTAAGGACTGAGTGTTCCCTTGCTGCCTACGTCCCGCCCCGTGAGAGGTGCAACTCTAACATGATAATCGGTGGTTTTAACGTTGTGGCTGATCGGTGTTTATGGAGGATACGCAGGGGTTAGTGGAGTTGTGGTTGTCGTGGTTCATGCAGTGGTGCTACAGGCACAGATATGCTCTTGTCAGTGAGGTTTTAAATGACAAAAAGACAATTTTAAACATGCTTTTATAACATTTCACAAAACACAATGGAGCTGAAATGTCTAGTTAACTGATTCGCTGACTGCCAGAAAGTCATACTGCGATTTATTATTTTTAATCACTGATAAACTGTTTTTTTTTTTTTTTAACACAAATGCCAAAAAATTCACTGGTCCCAGCTCATTAAATGTTTTTCTCAGCCTGACCTGGACTGTTGGTCAGACAAAACATACAGTATTTTGCAATATAGAGACGTCACTTTGGGCTCTGGGTAATTGCAATAGGCATTTTTGTTTTTCTATTTTGTGATATTTTATAGATCAGAGACATTTAGTCGAGAAAATAATCTGCAAGTCGTCTCTTGTCTTTTGGACATAGTATTAGAACCCCGCGTAGTTGTGACAGAACTTGAAGTGTTTCTAAATTTCAGGAATTCAGAAGTCTGTAGATATAATATCTGATTTCATCATAAAGTCTTTGGTGACAACATTTTCCTTTGCCTACAAGTAGCTGACAGCTTTTTCAGAGAATTCATGAACATTGTTTTCCTAATATTTGTAAATTAAGATACTTGTTTTGTGAGTTAAATTTGTGTTTTGAATTTGACATGATTTTGGATTTTGTGACATTTTTTTCGACTCAGGCTTGGATTTAGGCCCTTGGACCTAATGATGCCTAAGATCTATGCACCAGACGCTCACTGCCTGAAGATTATCCTTAACGAAAACTATATTTTAAGTAATTACGGTGACTGTTGACGTGCTGTTGCTTGATACAGGGTACTGTGTACTAACGTGTGCTGCAAATACAGAATCTTGTTTATTTACTTACCATCCCTTTGCTATAGAAGCAAATACGAAGGGGGGCAATATGTTATACACATGAAAGTGTGGTTTAAAAAGGGCACTAAAGGTCCAAAATCACCTTATAAGATAATGAACACATTTAAAATAAAAACTGTTATGTTTGACATTTTAACAGAAGCAGTGTTTAAGCTTGTGTGCAAAAAGATAATTTCATTCTACAATTTATTGATTCTTTTTATGTCAGGTTGTTGATGAGAGTTGCAAAATGCTGGTACAGTAAACAACAGTGTGTGCAATATCGCTTAAATGTCAAATGATTCACATTTCTGTCACCTCTTAATAATTGCGTTATTTGTAAGCTGACTAGCGGAGTATTTCCTCTGATGAACAGAAACGAAGCCAAAAACAAATTCTTTGTAAAGACTACGCTGAACGTCCAGACAGTAAATGCCACAGAAGTGAATATACTGACATACGAGTTAGAAAACCTGTGACCGTGAAAACAAAATTGAGTACATTTCTGATTTCCAGTCAGCCCAACTGCATGGACATTGTTATAAAATGAGCTTTGTGCGCCAGAACTTTCTTAGATTTGGACCTGCAGATTGTGTCTATCTGCATCTCATGCATGCATCGTGGCTCTACGTGGCGAATATTTACCAGAGGAAGTGAAAAAATCTGTCAGCCTTTATGGAACATGTGCAAGAAAATCCCTTTAGCAAATAACTGCAAGGTAACACTTTGCAAAAGAACATAAAAAGAAGCCCTGTGAATATCTTAATCAAATTGCTCGGCTCAGATGGAGTCCAACATGCTTGGTGTAAGTCGTCCATTACCACCACAGTGGATGCATAGTCCTGACAGTAAAGCACGGAGGTGGTGATGATATGAGACTGCATGAGTGCGAAAGATGTTGAGGAAATGACATTTATGCGAATGCCTGTGGATATACCACAACATTGGCTGACAAGATGACTCCCAGTTTGCAGAAACTTGGCAGAAGAGAAATATTACAGCATGATCATGATCCAAAAACTCACTGCCAAAATCACACAAGAGTTCCTAAAGAGAAAAAGTACAAGCTGGCCAAGTATGTCTCCTGACTTGAATCCAATAGGACACCTTATGGGTATTTTAAAGAGAAAGGTAGAACAGCACCACTCATCCAGCAAAGAGCAGCCGAGAAAAATGTCTCTGAAGAAGGCGGATCATCGCTCAAGAAATCTGGTATCATGTTGAGGAGGATTGAGTCTGTCAATAAAAATAAAGATGGACACATGAGATACTAAAAAAAATAGCAGATTTGAGTCCCAGTACCAGAGTGTTGTTGTATTAAGTTTGTACTGAGGGGAATCGTTTGACATTTCGGTGATATTGCGCAGGAGTGTACTGACTTTTTTAAATACAGATGGGAGGAATGCTCACCGTAGGCCGATTTTATTTGAATTTTCTCTCTGGTTTTAATCTAAGACGCTTCATTCGCTGCCTCATCTTTCCTATGGTTCCCAATGCTGTCCTTGTTACCTCAGTTATCTCAATAGAACAGAACTTATGCGGAAATACAACCCTAAAAATCCCCCTTCGCTGGAGAAAACTGCTGCTCTGTGGGATCACTTTGCAACTCAGTTTGACTTCCAATCGCTGATATCAATCATTTCCTATTTGATAGCCGGTGGAACTTGTCTATTGTGATACCACTGCTCGATGTGTTTGACCAGGCTTTAAAGTTTCAGCTCTGACAGATAAAAGTCTAGCAGTTTTCTTCCCTGTGTGATTCCCCGTTTGTGTACTTTTTGAGCATGCCGGGGCCGGCTGATAGACAGTGATGGTTCGCTTTTGACAACTTCTCTCAGAACTATGATGATATGTTATTATAAATTGATGCACAACACCGCCTGTGCAGATGTAGTTGTTTGCGAGGACGTTATGAGTGGCAGCTTATAAAACATCTGATAAAAATGGCTTTCACCATAGTGCACCTGTCCTGTTGTTGTGTTTGGACAGTATTTTTGTAGCATCCTATCAGAGTTACATGCAAATTAAACTATCACAACAGATTGTGGCCGAAATACTCCCTTAGTTTAAATAAATTGCTACTCTGGGCATCGAATACCAGGACGCAAAGTGTCTGCCATGCATCAAGCAGGTGTAATTGCAGGTGTTAGCTTGACATACGTTGTGCTCCTTTGGTGAAATTAAGTAATTTGCTGTGCAATGAATCGTTCATCTGTCATCTGGGGGGCTAACAACATTAGAGTCTGCAGTGTGCACTCATGTTGGAAGCCTTAGATGCGCCTATTTGGCTGCCTTTAATTTAATCCACAGCTTTAATGTTCACACGCAAACAACAAAATGAATGATGAATAGCCTGCATAATGGCATCTTGATCCAATTGGGAGTCCTGGAGCCACGGCTAAGTGTGTCAGCTGTGTTTCGAAAACAGGAGCGGCTGCGACATCAGCATTTGTGCGAGATGCTTTTACTTGAAAGGTGAATATCAAAACACGCGTAAAGCTATAATCAAATAGCAGCAGACACCTTGCATCATGGTGAGAGTGTTGAGTGATTCATAATCAAATACACAACTCTAATGTTATTACACGTTTTACAAGACGGCGACAGGCCAGACAAGCTGGAAAATATGTGGCTGTGGCTTTTCAAGTCGTTTTTTTATGTAGTTAATACGTCCGTGCTGTGTGTTTACATTTAACTTTGACATGAAAATCCAAGAGCGACTCCTGCTATCTGATTCTTCAGGTGTTCATAAACATGAACAGCTGTGGGGCACAGGAAGAAAAAAAAAAAAGTTAAATTCATCAAATGCAAATTCAATGCAAACAACATGACAGACTATTTAATTTATGGAGAAATATGCTTTGCACCTGTCATGGAAGGTAGGAGTGCAGGCGTGCTTACCTGTCTGTCCTGTGTGAATATATGACTAAGCTCGAGTGTAAAACAGCAGCTAATAGGATAAAAAAAATGTTATTTTTTCAGCACAGGTTGCAAATATGCAGAATAATTAGACCTCAGAGTCGATTTTAAAATGAGATTGATCTAGCATGTTTAGTGCAGGAGTTAAAGCGTACGATGTTTTCTCAGCGGGCCTAAGTAACGAGTATTTCTCAGCCTGTAGGCATTGTTGTCAGACTCCTGTACCTGTGGTGCTGGGTGCAGGGGAATTACTGTTCGGAGCTGCTGGGCAGGGAAGATTAAGTGACTTCTCATTAGAATTAAATGAGTCTCACTATCTGAATGCATCCTATTGTTTGGGCCTTTATAGCTGCATGTCTAAGCCAAATCTTAGCCTGTATTGTGAAACTGATTTTGATATCCAGCTTTAAATCCGGTCTCAAACAGAGAGGTGAGTCCAATGTTATTCATACTCACTGCAAATGTTGAAATATAGTGTTTGATCAGTAGGTTTCTTCTGGCTGCAACTGACCGTAAAACATTGTGTGTTTTTATACAATTTTACTATAAATGTCCTGAAATTATTCATACTGCTTCAAATTGTTTTTCTTGTTGAAAATGCAGCTTCTATATCATTCCAAATAGTTCTGGATATGTCTATTAACGTCTAGAGCGTCCTAACATACTATAAATTGACAACAACTGGTGCAGTTGCTGCTCACAGGACCAGGAAAGGCTTGAAAGTCACATCCAAGTGTTTTCAAGTGCCAGTGACCGCAGTGCAAAGCGGAATCAAACAAGTACAAGGAGTTCCACCCTGAAAAAACCTCAAAGGACGAGGTGGGAAGCCAAGAGTGACACCTGTGCCGACAGGAAGGAAAGTACAAAAGGTCAAGAAGAATCTAAAGATCAGCACAGAGACCATCCTGGTGAGTGTGAGCAAATATCTCAGTCCCACTCTTCAGCAGACACTGAACAGGGCTGGTCTCCATGAAGACCAAGGAGGACTGCACTTCTACAAGACAGACTCACAAAAGCTGACCAGGACAAGGAAGGAAGCTTGATGCCATCAGGTGTGCGGTGGGATGAGACGAGACAGGGATGTGGTTTTCCATTTGGTGAAAGAAAGGAGTAGCATTCAACCACAAAAACACCATCCACATGGTCAAACATGGAGGTGGGAACGTGATGCTTGGGGGTGTTTTTCTGCCACTGGTCCAGGCAGCGTGGCCAAAGTCAACAGCATCATGAGAACAGAGGAGCACACTAAGGTTGTGGAGGAAAACATCAGGCAGTCTGCAGAAAAACTTCCAACGAGACAAATGGTTAAATCAATATGAAGATTTTGGAGCGGCCCAGCCAGAGTCCCATCCAGAATCTGTGAAGGAACTCAGAGCAGAGTAATGGAGAGCTGGAGATCAACATAGAAGAGGAAGGAAATCCCAGTGAAGTCATGCAGAAAGACTGAACTAACTGATGTGAAGGTAAACAAAGTCTTTACTGAGGGGTATGAATAATTTTGGACATTACATTTGTAGGAAAAAAAATGGCTAAAACTCCTCATTCACATCTTTAACACAACGTCTTATCATCTTTAGTCTCTTCTTTATTTCATTTCCATCCCTAAAAAAAACTATTGGTCCAATTCAAATTCGCTATAAATCAAAATTCGGTCATGTTATGAATCATTTTGGGTTTAACTGAACCAGCACTACCAGCACACACACTCAGTTTGGGGTTTTGCTTGGCCGACGCTTGAATACCACAGCGTCCTTGCTGGATTTGGCCACTTGGAGGCGCCCGGCTCATACTGTGAACCTGCGAAGAAGTGGAGGCTGGGAAAGGAAAGTGGGCTTGAGAAAGAAAATCTCTCTCCTGAACTGTTTACCCTGACGTCAGTTTGCAGAACTAGCTCTGCCCTGTCTCCTTCAGTGTCTCCGAAACTCCACTCAGTCACATATTGTGGGGAATAGATGGGCTCCGCTCCGCCACTTGCGCGCACGGATCTCGCGGAGTGAATGAAATGCTTCCTTCTGCACATTTAAAGTGGACTAAAACATCTACACGATGAACACCTGCGCCTTTCTGTTGATTTTGTCAGTGCAGATCTACGCCGATGGCATCGAGGGGCCAACAGGTAAGACTCGTATTCCACCTCGATCACCTAAAAGCAGCTGAGAAGTTTTTACATGTGGATCAAACTCCACCGAAAGCAAAAGCGGAGCGAGTCTGGTTGAAGGTGCCAACTTTGTGCCCCTGTTCCCGAACACGTTGCTGCGTGTATCTGCGGCTTTCTGCCCCTTTGCCATGACTTACCTATGGGATAATGTTTGTCCTCCCAATAAGGAATGTAAACATTTTTATTCAAACAAGTTTGGATCAAGTTTTTTTTTATTTATTTATTTATTTTTACTGTGCGTAAAAATAATCTTGGTTATTTTAGAGGACTGCGCCTCGGTGCTCTGGGGGGGAAAAGCTCCCATTTCCCCGAACACAATCCTCCCTACGCTGCTCCTGCCTTTTGTTTAGCGCCTTTAAAGCGGCCAGGTAACCCAAAAGGTGTTTGATCCAAAGTTAGAAGCAACAAAAATCCCCTCAAAGAGCGATAAAGGCGCGTAATGTCGCCAATTTTAATTAATATTTGTGCGTTCACGTCCCCTCAATCTGTGATGACATCCAGACACCAGAACCTGGAGCTTCCTCCATTCAGGCGTCGGGTTGCATTGCTGATCCCAGACTCCTTGAAAGTTTGCATTCTAATGGGGTTTGTGACATTGAAATGGTTATTGATTATTGAAACCAAATTTGGACTGTGGAGAAGTTGTTAGAGCCAATCCCTCAAAGCTGCTGGATTTTCCCTCCTGTGTGATGAGCTGCCTCCCTCTGGTCTTTTTTGGCTGAAAACTCTCCCAGTCAGCTCTAAATCCTCCAAGATGTGAAAAAATATTCATGTCAAATGGTTGTTAGAGAAGAAAAAAAGTGCTCTCTTTCTGTTTTGTGGATTGTAACATGGATAGATTCTGTGTTTTTTTAAAGATAAAAAGATATGAAATATCCAGTAGGATAAATAAATCTTTTCCAAAATGAAACTCAGCTGCATGTCAGAGAAGTAGAGATAGCAAGAGAGACAGAGAGAGACAAAGCAGTATAAATAAATCTTTTATATGTATCTGACACAGACCTTTTCACATTCATTCAAATTCATGTTTCAGCTTTTACTCGTTGAATTTTGTTAGTCATTTATGCAATCTAATTACAGAGCTCGGATGCTTTTGTCTAAAGGCTGAACTGACTCGGGCCTGTTTGAATTTCTCTCTCACACACACACACAATGAATCGTAGCCCTTGTGGGGGCATAAAAGCAGAGTAATAAGGAAGTAATATTGATAACATTTCCACTGCGGGCTGCTTTGTACGAGTGTGACACAGTGCTCGTCACATGCGGAAGGAAGATTATTCTTTTGAGTTTCCCTCCAATATTTTGTGTTTCTTCCTGGCGCTGCTACTGTTTCATGAGAAATGGAGGGAAAAGCTACTTGTATGTGCAACTAGGGAAAAAAAAAAAAAAAACAACAACCCAAAAAAACACAAACCCGTGCAAGCAGAATGTGTATTGTCAAGAGCTGAATGGAGCACATCATTAAGAGGAATGGGCTGAGACATATGAAGGATTAAATCACACACACAGGTAATTAAAAGAGCTGAATGGAACAGCAACGCTCCAGCACGCAGCGCTGTGTGAGAGTATCTGTCAACAGGAATTTACATGCTGTCGGTTTTTTAGTTTGTTAACTGGAGTGTTGCAAGCCTCAGCACCTGCGCTTTTACCTTCCTATTAGCAGTTAATAGTTAAAACGCTGCCAGTTTCTGTGGCTTTCTTCCTCTCCTGATCCCCCTACCGGCCCTTCATGCTTCTCCGCCTGCCTACATCCTGGAGGAGGAGGAGGAGAAGCCAAGGAGGCATAAACGCAGCCTCGACTCCCACAATCCTCAGAGTGCCTCCTTTTGATTAACGCCGCCTTTATTACTATGATTGTGCGAGGACCACACCTTAACCTTGGATGCCTAATCGCAATTAAAGACTTCGCTCTCCTTTGGGGATTTCTTGCCCTTTTCACCCGATATAATCCATATTTTCCATAACTCTTCCCTGCTTCATGCGGCGTCCAGTCCAGGCTGTCAGAGAGGAATTATTACCGGCTGTGAGATATGGAGACTGTGTGTTGCACTGGACTGCTTGATAAAAGGAGGAAAATATTACATTTGCATCATGTTTTCTCAGCTACAAAGAGACTTATGAAAGTGAAAGTCCAGTTGTGGTGGTGCCATGCTGTGTGTGTGCGTTTTTTTTTTTTCTCTTCATTGTGTAAAGCCCAATCTGACACTTTCACTCCTCTGTTGTCTCTTATGGGAATAGAATAGATGCTCACTTACCATCTGTTTCCTCTATTAGCAGCGAATGTTGTCAACTGAGTGGTGTAATTATCCCGCGTCTCATGACTCATTTCCCGGTTTGATCTAAAGTTAAGGCAGAATATCCTTTTTGCTTATTTCAGTGAATAAGATAGCACTTGGACCGAGATGAAAAGGACCGCGAAGCCCAGACTGTCTAAGTTAAAGCGTGGCGTGGAATGAATAATACTTCAGGGCTTTCAGGTTTACTCTGCATAAACATCAGCAGCGATATTGGGAAACGTGATATGGAACCGCCGAGCATAGAGGGAGCGGAGCTGCAGTGATAATCATCATTTTTCAAGCAAATACGCCAAACATCAGAGCGTCGACCCTCGTAAATGTAGAGATTTTGTGGTTTTCTGTTTGCTACGTGATAGTAAACTGAATATCTTTGTTGTGGTCAAGGTTAACCCTCTGAACTACAAGCAGTTTCTGGGCGTTTATTTGCTCCTGTCACATCTTTACACACTGTGGGTTCATTTTTCACTGTAATCTAAAGTCCTGCACTTCTGTGGAAACAGCACAGCCATGACTACAAGGAGAGAGAGCTCAGAAGTGTCTTCTGTGCAGCATAGTATGGTTAAAATGCTATAAATCACAAAACAGGAAGCAAAACGTGGAATTTTTTTTATTAATTTATCTCACAAAAATGAGAAAAGAGCTTAAAATCAGCAGGTATGAGAGTTGCCAAGTGCCCAAAGCTGTAACAATAGTGACTAAACATACTGTGGATGCTTTGATTTTTACATTTTTAGTTTGTTTCTGTGATGGTGTCCTATCTGCTCTGCATAAACACAGCCTGCAGTTCAACCCAGTTCAGCCAAAAAGAATTTTCGTCATGTGATTGTTGTTTACAGTAGAGTCACCAATGGCTTCACTGTTGCCCCGAGGTATGAAGGATCTTTTGTTTTGGTTGTTGCAAATGGTTCGTTTTTGACGATTTTTAAACGAGACATGTAGAATAAAGCGATGAAATATCCAGATTTTTAGCTTAGGTGTGACCATGTTTCCTAACAGTCTGTCATAAGTAATTAGTTCAAGGTTAGTCAGAAACTTAAATATCTGATGATTCTTTCTGTTTTTACAGTTTCTGCTTCTGATAAATGGTGCAATGTTGGCGATATTTAAAAAAAAAAAAGACAAGATGCATTTTAAGCCTGGGCACAAATATATTAGAGAATAACTTACATGTACAGGCGCTAACAGATATAGTGACGCTCACACATGTAGCGAGCAGACATAAGGAAAACACTGAAGAGATTACAGAGGATACAAGGGATGCTCTACTTCCAAGAAGACAAATCTATTTATTGCAGGGCTTAAATTAACTTGAAACGTATTTAATATTTGGTCAAAAGAATCGTCCTTGCACCATTTAAATATGCACCAATTTAAGGGTTCTCTTTATTGCTAAATGTTATTATTGCGACATTATTCATCTCACGGAGTCTATTTGTATGTGTTACATATTGGTTCTTGAGAGTCCATTAGATGTGCTCTCTATAATAAGCATCTAGCTGAATGGGGGGAAAAAAATGAGAGCCTGAGATGAATTTGTGCATTACTGCTGTTGCGAAAGAAAGAAAAAAACAAAAAAATGAAGAAGTAAGCTACATGTTGATAATGTTGCCTCGACGCCGCGGCAAATCCACCGAGTGGAAGTGTTCCCTGCAGGAGCCAGGCCACCATCTGTGGTTGGAGTGCGAGGGGCAGCAGGGATTGGGCCTGAATCAGACTCCTGAAAAGACTGGGTGATTTCCATCTTTGTGGGAATCAGTAATTCAGAGAGCAGATGGAAAACTTTGCAACAAGGAGGGAAGGGATTGGAGGGGAGGAAGGAATTTCGTGAGCAGACGAGCTGAGAATGACAGAGGGATTCATTCAGATGGATGTTTTGCTCTCAGCTGCGGCCACAGCAGGACTTTTGCTGAGCTTGCCGGCCACTCTTGCCCTCAGCGCTCATGCTGGTGCGTATGCGTGATTAAACACTGTGTCTACGAGAGGAGTCCTCCGCTCTGCTGCTCTGTCTCCTCTGTCTCTGATCTATTGTAATGTGGGGCTATGTGGAGGAGAGCCAGACCCCGATTGGCTTACTCATCTCGCAAGACTGGGAGATGAAACATATCCATCTACTCCATGTGTTCAAGGAGTGCTGCTTCATGCCAAGTGCCATGATTGGTACTCCTCATCAGTGGAAGCATGTGTCCATCGAGGAGCCTCCGCTGCCTGGATCTGGTCTCGTTTCTTATCTTCCTCGTGATGCATCACGTCTGAGTTTGTGCCGTGCTGAGTGTGCATACATTTTTTATTTTTCATGCAAGACTGCAGCTCACGCACATCTTGTGATTGTTGTGCTTAATTAGTCCCACTAAGCATTTTGCTGTTCTCATTTTAATTATCACATGTTCTGTTTCCTAACTCTGCTTAACTTTTTGTTGTTGTTGTGGCCTACTGAGGCGGAGGGTTGTTTTTGCTCTTCAGAAAGGTCAAATCCTGGTTGGGAGTCGTGTTTTTTAAGGCGAAGGAAGAGCAGGTCGTGGTCTTTGAGAAACGGGTCAAAAGCAGGATTGTTTCTGCTTTATGTGTGTGTGTGTGTGTGTTTCTGCCATTTCGCCTGAACCCTCCTGTGCGAGCTCCCTTCGATCAAGTCTCGCCAGGCCTCGACAAAGAGCGCCGAAAAGG